GCATGCAACTAAAGAAGTCCATCCCACAGGTTACACTCGCCTTGGTAAGTTACAGAGACGCTTCCGTGAAGGGAAATTCCACTGGACATTGTTGGTGCCACCACATTCCTAAGCATCTTTAAGGGCTCATACATACAGTCGACTTGTCCGCATTAGGAAGTCGCTTCAGCAACAGTCAAATCGGTCACGTAGAACCCAAATGGGATAAACTACTCGGCCCAGCTGACCAATTTCTCACTAACTCTGAAACGTAATATCGACTCGTTTGTTCCATCCAACATTTGCGGTGGTACAAGTGTCGGGTTTTAAGCATTTTTACGAAGTTCTTTCTTTCGCGCACAGCTACTGTCTCCCGCAGTATTTATTGGTCAGATGAGTGCATTATTCATTGACAGCGTATGCAATTAGGATAATTCGAACCAACTTTCAGTTTACATGACCTCACTTGGGTCGTTGTATCGGTTTTACCATTCGTATTCCCTAATAGTTCATTGAAACGACCGAGTCATCTTATAGCACTTGATTCTATCCAATGTTAGGTAAACAGCTTTACCGTCGATCAGTTTATTAAAACTATGTTTCTCCAGTCCCCGGACGAAAGTTTACCGATATTAATAGTGAGTCCCTATGGGCGAGCACACTCTTCCTACACTTCAATCACTCAAGTTTATGATGATGATGATGATCGATTTTCGTGCTCCAGTGGTCCTCTATCGGGATTTGTTCTCGTCGATCCCGTAATACTATTTTTATTTATACCATATTCGCTAGGTGTACAGCTACCACTTTCTACCTCTCATTGCAAATAGAAAGATGCGCCAAACTCTTCGTAATTTGGATGTTTGTAAACCATCCGGTATTCCGCTCATCAGACTAAAACTGTGCCCCGGAATCAGCCCGTTCTAAATTGCCTTTCTGTTCTTCACTTGATCTCAAATCTTCCCCATTACATAGAAAAATGTCATTATTTTTCCAATTCCGAAGCGTGGTGATCCGATGCAAACAACTATCGTCCTATCACTTTCACTTTTGTATTTTTAAACTATTCTCTTCAAGTACGTTTCTCGAATGCGGTCTGCCGAACGACCGCCAAAGTGGACTTCGCCCCTCGTCGATCCATAGGTGACTCACTGGTTCTCACATCGCAGTCCAGGTCAACTGCACTCGATAACCACAGGGAAACTCACTTGTTTCACTCGACATTTCAAAGACCTTTGGCCGCGTTTGCCACGAAAATCTACTGTCGAAATCATCTACGTTCTGGTTCTATTCGTCTTTCGTAACGTGACTCAAACGTTTCACCAGTAAGCAAACCATCTCCGGCCGAGTCGATGGGGTCCTATCTCGGTCATTCGCTGTAAATGCTACTATTCTTCAAGGGTCTCAGAGTTTGTCCATTCACTTTCCTCTATTGACTGATCATAGTTTGTTCAAAACCTCTGATCCTATCCACTGCTTTGTCGATGATACCACGTTATATTGTTCTTTTTCCAACCCCACAACCCGCCAGACCCTTTCAATCGATTCTCGAATCAATTCCCCTTGGTTCCATAGATTCTCTGTCCTGTGTTTCTCCCTAAAATCATTTACCTGTTGGTCCATTTTATTTCCACGCCCGCTTCCCGCACTGCAAAAAATCGGTTTGCTATTCCGTGCCAGACGCTTCTTTTCATCCTAGCATCTTCTGTAGAAAGCTTTTATTTGCCCGACGCTTGAATACTGCAGTCAAAAATGGGGTGGAACTTCGTATTCCGCTCTTTTCCTTCAACTTAAGGCCATCCGTGTGAACGACGGACAGTCTCTAAATTCTAACCTGAAAGTTACTTTCGCATCATCGGACAGTTGCTTCGCTTTCTCCTTTCCATCGTTACTATTTTAGTTTCTGCTCTTTTGAACTCGTTTTAGTGGTTCCTACCTCCTGTTCTCTTATCTTTCATCTCGTAATCACACACTACTCACAAGTAACTGAGTTAAATACGAATCTCGTAATTAGGCGGACAGCCACACTTATTAGGTTTCTGTCCCCAGATGTCGGACTTCGATCTTCCAGGCTTCTCTTTTGCCCAGAATTTGGAGATTATGAAACATTCTACCCATCTCCGCATTTCTGAACACGCTTACCCTTTTCAAAAGCAGGAGTAACAAATTGGTTTTCACCAGAATTTCTCTCTCTATGTTATGTCATCGACTGAGGTTGACTTCTTTTGCTGAAAAATCACTAAATGTATAAAAAAATTCAACCGCTTTCGGAAAACGTATTCACCTAATGTGCAACTGGATTTCTTCTTTCTTCTGCTGCTGCTGTACGAGAAACAAGCGCCCTACTTTCCGATCCGAGGTCAGTGGTCACCTACGTAATTTTGCAAATCGCCTCATTAAAACATCGTTTAGTGTAGCTACAGCTTATTGGTGGTGAATGGTACAGATGGAAGATGCCGTAGATTTCTTAGTGTAATAGAAAAAGGCGATTTACTTGGCAGCGCAGTGGTTTACACGCCATCCGCGATGTGCTTTGGATACTATGGTCCGAGGCTCGAGCCATGCCACCGCTACTCAACTTTGGTGGGTAGATTTACCGTCGCTCGGTTCACTACCAAACCTAACAGCAGGGCCTTATGTGGCCCGCCAATCCAGGTCCCGGGGCTTGGGTTAATGGTTTTCATCACTGAATAGCTAGTCTTCATGACTAGGGTCCACCCCGTCTTTTGTTCATTGGTGCATAATTAAAAAAACGACGGAATCTTACAGCACTGAGGAATGCGTCTGATAGTGGCATCTAACCTGGATTTTACGAAGAGCAATTCGATGAAAATGCCTTGAGAATGACGACCCAGTCGTTTCGCATGACCATTTCAAGGTGATAAAAGACGTGTGGGTAAGATCAGTATTCATCGACCTGGCAATGGGCGTAAATCGAAAAGCTTAGCCTAATCAAAATCAGTCCTATAGGATGTAAACAAGCATTGCACTTCTCCCGGTATGCTACACAAAAACTCAATACGTTGTAGAACTGCTACCCAGTAGGAACCCTGAATGAAAAATGTTACACCACTTTGGGACTATTTTAGATGTACAACTTTTATTGTTGAAAAGCAAAATGAAAACCTGCAGACGTTTGTGATATACACAACGGTTATTCTTTTGCCCGCTTTGGTTCGGGTTCACCCTCAGCCAAAGTGGTTGTCGACGGGGGTGGTGGTGGTGGTGGTGGCGGTACATTTGGGGGTGGAGGAGGGGGTGGCATGAAACTCGGAATCCCCAAACCGGGAGGAGGCGGCATTCCTGGGGGGAACAAATTCGGTGGTAATGGTGGTGGGGCATTGGTCATCATCATCAAACCTGGTGGAGGGGGTGGAGGTGGCATAGAATGTTTTCCGCCCACTGTTTGCGGTGGATTAATTATCATTCCCGGTTTAATCATCCCGGGAGGGAACGCTGATTGTGTTACGGAGACAGAACTGTTTGTAGATGCAGTACCAGACTGAGGCCCGATCTTATCACGTGCAGCATCCAGTTGCTTTTGAAACTCCAAAAGGTCTTGTTTGTCCTTTGAAGTAACAGCCTCCATTGTTCGTTTAACTATTAGGTCAGTGGTGGCTGAGTATCCATCCCAGATCAATTTATCTGGTTTGGCAACCTCCTGTTCACCCAACTTCTTGCCTATCTGGATCTCATCAACCCCTACACCGAATATATCTGTACGCCGTTCAGCCAGTTGTTTTAGGCTGTTGTCAATTAGATTACCAGCAGCGTAAACTTGCTCCTGTTCTTTCTTCTCACGGATCTCGCGATCACGTTGTTCCACCCATTTGGGATCAAGCAAACCAACCCGAATATGTTTTGGTGCTTGATGCGCAGGAATCTTCTCTCCTGTGAATGGAGAGACTAACAGCACAGAATCGTCGCGTTTTGTCATTCTAACTGCTTTCGGGTCATAATCATGACGAATAATCACCTGATCCGTTGTTGGAGGCAAATGTTTAGTGGGCTGTTTCGAGGGTCCTGTTTGACTAGGTTCCGTGTCTTGTGTTCCCTCATCGTCAGACAACTCCATGTCATCTCCATCACCTAAATGCTCGGGAGTTGGTGGTGGAGATGGTGACTTTCGAAGGTCGGTGNTTGCACGATGGGTGATTTTGGTCTTGGAGGGGCTTCGTAAGATGGCGGTGGTGGTAGCGCCTCTGTTTCCGGTTCTGATTCATCAAGGTCCTCGTCAGACGCATCCTCAGCGTCCTCGTCATCAATATCGGTAGGCATGAGACCAAGAGAGCCTGGAGGAGGCGGGACAACGGATTTAGGAGGAGCTTGCATACCTCGTTCCTCGGCTAACATACGAGCACCCACCTCATCGGGAGTAGTGGGAACCGGGAAGTTCCCGGTTTCGTTGGGTTGGAAATCCACCGTTTCGACCACCACAAAATCATGCCAATCGATCAACGCATAAGCCACACGTTCCCTTTCTGCCGCTTCCTCTTCTCGTTTACGTTGACGTTCCTGGTATTTTTGCCACTCTACTCGGTACTTCACATCATCTAACAAACGCTTTGGATTACTTAACTCTTCCTCTAGTTTTGTGATAACATCTTTGGGCGGAATAAGTATTTTTGTGTACTGTTCAACAAGCTTTGTGAAATAGCCAAACATACTATGCTGAGAACGCAGAAAATCGAATTGGTAGTTTCTCTGTTCGCGGTTCATCAGCTGGGTGAGAAACTGACGACCATTTCTGGCGACGAACTGAGCAGTTAGCTTTATGATTTCGATGTCAACTGCGTTGATTGACGGCGGATCGTAGACGAATTCGAATTCCGGCGGTGGGTCCTTTGGAATAAACGTCTCTTGGATTGATTTAGGTGTATCTTGTCCAAGACGAGCTGCACTCGGAGTGATTAATTTCAGCGCCATTGGTTCGGATATTTTGCCCTCAGTAAATTCCCGTACTTTGTGTTGGTAATACGCATGGTAAGGGTCTGGAGGATTCAGGAAGTTGAATTTCGGGTTATTGATCTCGTTCTGACGAATACGTGACTCGAAATCCGGACCATTACGAGCTACAAAGCTGGCGGTCTTGTCCACTATATTCCTTACCTCCGGAGGGGGGTAAATTATACCGATCTTTGATGGTATAGGCTTGTCAACCGGTTGAGTCTCCACCAAAGCCATTGCTAAAAAACAAGAAACATGAAAGATTAAAATGAACTTGTTAACTCATAGAGTCATCGAAGTTAGGCATCAGTCAAACAAAACGGACGAAATGGAATGAACACTACCATTGGTAGGTTATACTTTCCAATGACCATTGCACGGGCTGCTGGAACCGAAATTGGTAGTCAAAAATCATCAATCCTTTTTTATTACACGAAGCTGAATAAAGTAAAAGGGGTAACCCCCATGATTCGAAGATATACTGTAAGCGGGAAGGTATGGGGAACATTCAGGCTAGAAACCGACTTGTCGATTCTACTTTCAAAGAAAATGATGTTGTACGTTGGGGGCAAGACCGAAGGAGGGAGTGTTCTTGGGGAAAAAAATGATTTAAAGTTAGAAATGAGACACCTGGAACGGTCACTTGAAATAGGTAGCTAACCGCTTGTGCGCGTGATCTACGAGGAAGAACAAGCGGGAGAGGGACAGGGGCGGAAAGTTCGTCGGAACGAAATCCAAAGTAGTATTCATAGAACAAGGATAAAGAAGCAGCTGCCCGACGGTGAGCTAGTAACTGCAAGTTGAATGTTAGGGACGGGTCGTTGATGAGACGGGTGGCATTACGTTGAATCCGATCAAGAGAAAGAGGAGTGGACGAAGCTCCACCTCACACATGACTGCAGTATTCAAGTGTAGGGCGAATCTGAGCTCTGTAAAGCGAGAGGTGAATGAGGGTAAAGAAACGTCTGGCGCGGAAGAGGAAGCCGATTTGGCGCTCGGCGCGAGAAACAAGTAGATAAATATATGGTGGCCATGAAAGAGAAGAATATAAGGAAAGATCTGCGGAACGGAGAATGTTCAGGTAGAAACTCAACGATGGGGAGAAAAATGCGTGCTTAAGAGAAGTGGATATAATGAAGTTTTACTGGCATTTAAGAGGACACAGTTGCGTCAGCCCCAAGCAAAAATAAGGCCCAGATCAGAATTTTATTATATTATATTTCACACTTGTCTGAGGACATACTGTGTGCCAAACAAATCATGGTACAATCATCTTTATAAAAAAGAAAATGTTCCATGATTGGCTTGTGGGCTGAGAACTGCCACGCTGCCCCGGACAAGGCAGGTAAATTTTATTGAGGAATCCACAACCGGGGTCTTCGGCTAGCCGAGGCCTGACCCGCAAGGCAGCGGGGCGGTGTGATAACCGCAGTCC